ACAACCCTTCCTAAACCCAGCCCTGCCCCCTGGATACAGCTACACTGGCCTTCCCTACTACCCCGGTGTGCCCAGCGCGTTCCAGTACGGCCCTACCATATTCGTGCCCCCTGCTTCAGCCAAGCAGCACGGCATGGGACTGAGCAATCCAACTCCATTCCAGCAGCCCAGTGGCTACGGTCAACACGCCTTTAGCTCAGGTTTGTGAAGATTAAACACAAATACAAATTCTCATGCATACTTTGTGCTCTTGAGTATTAAAGTTTTTTTTATATATTTTAAGGGTACGATGACCTGACACAAGGCCCACCAGGAACTGAGTACAGCAAAGGTTACAGTAACTCTTCTCAAACACAGGCCAAATCTGCTGCCTCCGGCCCAGGGAAAGGTATAAATATACTTGCACTTCACATTTTGTTTTTTTCTTATGTATAAATGTGTTCTGTCTACTAAATTAAAATAAATGATCCATTACTTTGTGTCCCAGGTGTCTCTGTGACATCTAGCAATTCTGGGGTGCCAGACATCAGTGGAACTGTTTACAATAAAACGCAGGTACCTACATTTATTTATGTAATTATGTTTTAAATATTTAATATTTACCATTTATATATGTATACATATATTGCATAATATATCATTTATATATAGAATGTATATAGAATACTATTGTTGTTGCTTTTTACACAATTAATCATTTTAATTGATGTTAATTTTAATGATGTATTTATTTAATGCAACTTTTTTTTGTTTTTTCTTCAGCCGTTCGATAAGCAGGGTTTCCATGCTGGCACACCTCCTCCTTTCAATCTCCCCTCGGCTCTGGGCGGCACAGGACCTTTGACCCCTGGTGCCGCCCCTGGTTATGCTCCTGCTCCATTCCTTCACATTCTGCCGGCCCACCAGCAGCCCCATTCACAGCTGCTCCATCATCACCTCACCCAGGACGGACAGGTCAGTCCCTGTCTATTTTTAAGGCCTATTCACACCTCATAGTCTGTATGTTGAAATTGAAATAATGCATGCTTAATGGTGTTAAGCCGCAACACCGGTATGTCACTTGCCCACCGCGGCACCGTCCCCCATCGTTTATTATTTTTTATAGTAATAAAAATCATTTATTTCAGTTAGAGAACAGACACTACAATTAAAAACTGAATGCGGCTGTTCAATGCAGCGTGCTGAAAGACAGTGGCATCACAGATCAGATTTCATTTATCACGTAAGGAGAAGCTGACAAGAGTGAGGTGAGACAGACAAGATGATGGCAGAATAGTTTCAAAACGACATGCAAAAGCACCTGTTTTAAAAATATTTTGGATTTTGAAAAGCCTGTTGACTTCTGCCATTTATCTAAGGTGATATTTGAAGTTTTTTTTTTTTTAAACATTCGTTTCTTATTTATTTGGTTCCACAGTGTTTACTGATTTTTATTTATTTAAACTGTATTTTTTTTTTAATTTTACATCAAGTATGCCGTGTCTCCAAGCTTTCTTATTTATTTTGCTAATAAATGTACGTTTCTTATTTATTTGGTTCCACAATGTTTACTGATCTTCAGTTTTGTATAGACTACCTAAACTTTGTGTAAGGTATTTGTTATTTTATATTAGGCATATAGCACTGTGTATTTTTATTCATTTTGTTAATAAAATTTCTATGTTCACATGGTATTTTGTTGTTGCTTGAATTGAATTCAAGCAATTGAATCTGAATTGCCGTTAATTTGAAAGCGAACGTAAAATGCGCACGGTGCTTTTAAGCTATTTTAAAGCGAAGGAAAGTGAGGAAAAGAGGGCAAACTCAAATGAACTAAAAACAACTGCTTGACGCCGAATTGCCGCTAATTTGAAAGTGAAAGTAACATGCGCACGACGCTTTTACAAGCTATTTAAAATGGACGGAAAGTGAGGAAAAGATGGAAAACTACAAAACCCCCCACGGCGATACCGGTATTACCGGTGTTGTCACACATCGATTAACCAGTGCGAAAATTTCCTCGCTGTCACACCCCTACTTTATACAGAGGCTGAGTACCAGAAAGCAACGAACTTAGAAAATGTAAAATATTTTATAATTTTAATGTCATTTCAGTCACAGTGAACACAACTTCACTGTCTTTAAGTATTATAATGCTGTTAATATGAATGCAAACACAAACGTTGCTAAAATGGCAAGAGTTCACACTTGTAAGCTCAGCTGTCTGGTGTGTTTTGTTCACGTAGGGTGGGCCAAGCCAGAGAAGCCAGTCCAGCACCATGCAGCAGAAGACCCAGGTCAACAAGTCCAACTATGGCAGCTCCCCTTACTGGGGCAACTGAGCGCAGTCCACAGCGCAGGTGCCGTCCCGCACCCAATGACACGCCAATCAGAGCAGAGGGACGCCCGTACACACTACCATCATCCCCATCCTCCTCTCACGTTCTCATCTCCCCTTTTCAAAGTTTTGGCTGTTGTATGTAAAGTATATTTATGTATGTATTTATACAGTATATATGTATTGGTAGGATATGAAATGTGGTTTTTCTGCATTTTATTTTTGAAGGAAGTTTTTCTTTTTCTTTTTTTTTTTTCATTGCTAACTGGCTAAGAGGATATGATGACAGAGAAGTGATGAGAACATAACAGAAGGGTGAATATACTTGAAGCAGAGCAAGCATCATGATTCGAACATGGGAGTTTTTATTTGTATACATAACCCTAATAATGTATGTACATTACTGCTAAGCTTGATCACTTGATGAAGCCTTTTTTTTACTTTTGTATTTTGCTCCTCTTCCACCCCCTTCACCTGTGAATTTTTTTTCTATTGAGGGGGAATTTAATTTCAATGCTTAATTTTGTTCCCTCTGCCCTTCATTTGTGACCCCGTCCCTTTCCCCCAAACCACCACCAAATTGGCTAAACGGTAGCATTTTAGATCAGATTTCATTTTAACATTGGTTTTACCCTTGTCAAAATAAAACTGTCCAGTTTACTGTTTCAGCTTGATTATTCATGCGCACAGTGTTTGCACACAAGCAGTAACATTGTTACAGCATTGTTCTTTTGAACGTTCTATTTGTCGAAAAAATCCAATAAAAAGTATCAGGGTTTCCACAAAAATATTAACTGTTTCAAAACTGATGATGTTTTTTTTCTTGACCAGCAAATCATATTCTAATTGAGCATATTAGAATGATTTCTGAAGGATCATGTGACTCTGAAGACTGGAGGAATGGCTGCTGAAAAGTCAGCTTTGCCATCACAGAAATAAATTACGTCTTTATATATTAAAATAGACAACCTTTATATTTATTTCTAGTAATATTCGACAGTATTACTGTTTTACCAGGCAGGTGCATGAATAGATCCCACTTGGTACTTTTTTTTTATTTTAGTTATTTAAATGTGGCCCCTCCCCCTATTAGACATCGTCTATTGAGGGGGAATTTAATTTCAATGCTTAATTTTGTTCCCTCTGCCCTTCATTTGTGACCCCGTCCCTTTCCCCCAAACCACCACCAAATTGGCTAAACGGTAGCATTTTAGATCAGATTTCATTTTAACATTGGTTTTACCCTTGTCAAAATAAAACTGTCCAGTTTACTGTTTCAGCTTGATTATTCATGCGCACAGTGTTTGCACACAAGCAGTAACATTGTTACAGCATTGTTCTTTTGAACGTTCTATTTGTCGAAAAAATCCAATAAAAAGTATCAGGGTTTCCACAAAAATATTAACTGTTTCAAAACTGATGATGTTTTTTTTCTTGACCAGCAAATCATATTCTAATTGAGCATATTAGAATGATTTCTGAAGGATCATGTGACTCTGAAGACTGGAGGAATGGCTGCTGAAAAGTCAGCTTTGCCATCACAGAAATAAATTACGTCTTTATATATTAAAATAGACAACCTTTATATTTATTTCTAGTAATATTCGACAGTATTACTGTTTTACCAGGCAGGTGCATGAATAGATCCCACTTGGTACTTTTTTTTATTTTAGTTATTTAAATGTGGCCCCTCCCCCTATTAGACATCGCTTGTCAATCAATCACAGGCACTAAAGTTAATGGAGCGCAAGCAGTCCGTAGCAGCGTCCACCTATCTCCCAACTTCCTTCATTGTTGAGGTAACGATATTGTTTCTAAGCTTCGACGTCACAGGTGTGAAATTAAACCACAATTATAACATCTCAACCTGTTTTTATACAGTCTATGATCTCAACACAACCCAACTTGCCCCCATTAAACTTAAAATTAACATCAAGAAAGCTAGTCGTGCTATCAAACTGAATCAAATACCCCCAGAATTCAAGATATGAATTGGCCCTGTATGCGTTCTGGCTTTTTTATAACATAATATAGTTAAGCAGTATCACAGGAGCAAGAGCGGTTTTCTCGAATATCAGCACGATAGTAAGTTTATTTAACTGTTTTATAAAATATCTCAGTAATATTAAAACATATAAATATCATTTTTATTACATATGTCAAAAATATCTGTTGTATATTAATATCACAGTAAGTCAACTTTGAATGTTTTTGTTCTTTTATCATCAATGAAAATAGTTCCAAAGCAGAAGAGTCGTGCTTCCAAGAAACACAGCTGTGTAGTTCGAGTGAATCTACCTTTTTCAACGAATCAAGTTTTTGATCAAAAGCGATTCAATGACCCATTCATCAAGTCTCGCGTGCTTCGTTTAAAACGAATCGGCCGGTTTGAACAAATCAGTTATGAAGGATTCAATGTCTTATTTCTTAAACGAATTTGATTAAAGAATTAAACACGAAAGATTACATTTAGTGTTATAAAAATACCCCAGGATAATACATTTATATATAAAAAGTGAATGATAAAGACCATTGCCTTGTATTTGTCAAGCATCAAGAATATCTGCTTGTTAGTGTTCCTTATGTCATGTTTGCCACTGCAATAACTTATGTACAACCCTATTGTAATGTGAAAAAAAAATTGTTACCAGAATCTTCTAATAATAATTGAATACAGATCAAGTAGAATTGAATATGAATTTATTGAAAGGCCAATTATTTATGCATTTTCTAATACGATTCAGAGTAACTAGAGTACTTGGACACCACATGCATGATATCAGTTCACAATTACCATCATGGCAATTTAGAAGTATAAAAATATGCGTAACTACAAACAGCTTAGACATTGCCATGAATAACCAAACTAGCACTCAAGTGAAACAATTTCATCAATTGGAAGCATTAAGGTAAATTTAGATGACAAGCTTTAGTCTTTTCATTGATGTCAAAGGGCTGTCATTTTATTAGAGCAAGGCACATAAATGAACCATGTTTCAGAAAGGTGCTTTGAGAATGACAGGAAATAAAAGCAAGATTGTATGAAAGAAACAAAACACGTGACAGCTCTCAATGCATTGCTTTTCTTGCACTCGGCTCACAAACATCTTGACCACAAGTCCAACACTTAGAATTGAAACTAAAAATAAAACTGTACAGAGTTCATAAGTTCATTGAGAAGGAATGAGTTTATTCATCCTCCTCAGTCTTTTTTTTCTTCTTTTTCTTTTTCTTCTCTGCCTGTATAGCATCAGCCTCCTCAGTCACCTCAGGCTCCGCCTCCACAGCGTTAATCTTCCTCTTCTTTTTCTTCTTGGAAGGTGTGGCCTCATCAACACAGTTCGTCAAGACCTCCTCGTCCTCCTCAGCAGCCTGCTTCTTTTTATTTTTCTTCTTTATGATGTCCCCGTTTTCCTGAAGAACAGAGGAAACCATCAACACCATGTATGAAATATCAAACAAACGTTAACATACTCCGAGATGATCATGTCCTGCTCACTTCAGTGATCAAACCCACAGAGTCGGGCCTGTCAATGGTCGGAGGAGCTTTGCTTTAGCATGACACATATAAGACGGGTCCACAAGAAGGTTCCGCCTCCAGTATAGTCATGCTACTTGTGCTAAAATGGGGGTTTCCAGATGCCACAAAAATAACAATTTTTTAAAAATTAAAAGGCAGCTATATATTTGTGTAAAGAGCCAATGTATACTGGAAAAAAATAAAATAAAAATTGTATTTTTGTTACAAAATTTAGGTTGTCTAGTTTCCCCCCCCCCC